CATATGTATGGAAAAGAATCTTTTTGTGACGAACACTTGCTTTCGCCACAAGAGGATTCACATGTATACTTGGGAAAGAGGTGACGATAGAAGCATGATAGATTTCATAATTGTGGATGAAAGATTGAGGGGCGCAGTGGTAGATACGAGAATTTACCGGGGTTCTAACGTAGGAACGGATCATTATTTAGTTTTATGCCGAATTAATGGTCTATTCAGGCGTTGGCGCCATCGATCGTCTGTGTCTACCACTGCGTTACAGCGTATTAGAACAGAAAGGTTACAAGATAAAAGTGATAAAAACAAGTTCAAATGTAGACTGAAAGAAAATATAAGTGGTTTGGATGAATTATGTATGATTTGGAGTTAGACTTGGAGAATATATTGCAAAATGTAAAGAAAGGTTTAGTGGATGCAGCTACCGAAGTATGTGGTGTTAGTAAGAGAAAGAATGAAAGGAAAAATAATACGTTATGGTGGGATGATGAGATACGTATGGAAGTTGAAGCAAAGAAGAGATCATGGCTAGATTTACTAGCAACAAAGGCTGCTAATTCTAGTGGTACGAATGGTGATATTGAAAGAAAAAAGGCAGTCTTTAGACATCTTAATAAGAGAACGTAAAACACCGTCAGTTATGTCAATTTCTGACAGGGAAAGCGAGAAATCTATAGTTGTTTCTGATACCGAATCCGAGCCACCGATGGAACTGATGGAATTATCAGACGATGGTGTCACAGCTAACTCAGTATCAAACAGGGAACACGAAGGGATTCCTATCCTGAACGAAGCTATAGATACTAAACCACGTCAAATTTTAGTTTCTACATGGTTTACCGATAAAATATCTGTTAAAGATATTTCAAATAAAAGACAACGTATACTATAAGTTCACATGCCTTAAAATAATAAGAAAGTTGTCAAAGATTTTTTTAAAGAATATATCGATTTTATATTTGATATATATATACACACACACACATTATATATATATATATATATATATATATATATATATATATATATATAATGTGTGTGTATATATATGTATATATGTATATATATATATATATACAGTATGTAACAAAAACCCTGTTGGTCGTTTCAGGGACGAATAGGTGTACACATAGGCATGGTAATTATGATAATGAAAATTTTTTTTGGTTGCTTTAAATGGGGTTTTTAGGTTTCTAATAAGATAACTTAAGAAATATTAAATTTCTAAAAATGTTATTTGCTTCTGAACTTACCGACACTGTAATATTATCTACGTCACAGAATAAATAATAGTCTACGGCCGATATGAGGTCACTGACATGGCCGACTCAAAGCAAGCCGCTAAGCGGCGCGTGCTTCCCCAAGGTTTTTGTGTAAATCTTTATACCTATCTAGACTCAGTTATTCTCAGAAAATTTTAATTTCAAAATAATAGAAATTATAATGAAATGGTTATTATTTCAACCCCAATACACATAGTATTTTTTTATAGTATAAGGAGACAAACGAGCACACAGTCCACCTGATGGTAAGTGGTTGCTGCGGCCCATAGACATCTACATCTATCCTCGATTACGAATCAAAATGCAGATGCGTTGTCACCCGTGAGGACTAAGATGGAATGCCTCATTTCCAGTAAAAAGGTTCTCCGATTCTCTACACTCACCATACGAAATACAGCAGCATTAAGCAACCATTTCACGCTGGTATTCTGTGAGAGCGTGGTCCTTCCCCGGCCGAGCCGACCCATTCGTGCTACAACTATACATCTAGTATATTGTATATTATAAGTATCATTTGAATACTTATGTTATAAATTTCCACTTTTTTGCTAAATAGATCTACGAAAATATTTAAAAAGGTTATTTCATGCATAAAATATCGTGATTAATTCCAAATTTGCAACTATTTGTAGGAGAAATTTAGTATGTATCTTTCATATGAAATATTATTCGATAAAGAATTTATGTAGTAGGTAGTAATTATTTTTTTTAAATAAATTTATATTGTCGTTTATTGCTAGAATATAATAAACAAAACAAAATTAATAAGTAATTAATATACGCGGCGTTTTGCGCGCTCTTTGAACTCAAAAGCGAAAGCCGACGAAGGACTTAGGTACTAGGAAAAACCCAAAAAAACTCCACTCTTCGAGTGATAAAAAGAAGCGTCCACTATATGACGATTAACTAATTTTGATCCAATATCTATTATTTATTCTGTGCTAATATTTAGTAGTAATATTTAAAACATGGGAAGTTTTATGAACATAAAATTTTGTCACAATTCAGTGATCAAGAATAAAAATAAAAATAAGGGTTGTTTATCGTCGGTCGATAAAACATATAAGCCGGTGCCGCAAATGTGTGAAAGGTGGACATATTGAACAACATCTTCGTGGTCGTCGTATCTATTATTTATTCTCTGCTAATATTTAGTAGTAATATTTAAAAACATGGGAAGTTTTATAAACATAAAATTTTGTCACAATTCAGTGGTCAAGAATAGAAATATAAATAAGTATTGTTAATCGTCGGTCGATAAAAAAATGCTAATTATTAGATTTTGAAAAACATAGCAGCATAATAGTTTAAGTATTTGTTATTGTGTGGATTTATAACACAATTTTTTAAATGTTTCTTGTTATAAAAGTGTTTTAATGTATTTTTATTAATCCTAGCTATAATTTAATTTCTTAATAACACTTACGGACGCTGTCTGAAATAAATAAATAAATAATAGCTATTATTAAAAAAATAACATAAAAAAATCACGAAATTTTCATCGATTTAGAAAATATCAAAATTATGTTATAGAGTACAATAGCTTTGCCACGTCTATGCAAACAAACAAGCATCAAGCACCAGTAGCGCGTTAGCACTGATATTGACGGTTGTGTTTTATATTGCGAAATTAATATTCCGCCGTGAGTGACTTGTGTGCGATGTCTTACTCAAACGAAGAATATTTTAATATGTTGATGTGTCTCGGGAAATGTAACTGCAATTATGCAGCAGCACGAAGACTTTACGGGGAGTGCTTTGCTACTCCACGAAATATACAATTGCCGTCGGCAATGACGTTCCAACGACTTCATATTCGTATGTACAATACTGGCAGTGTGCATGGCCGTGATCAACAACGTACAGATTCAGGAAGACCGAGGATGTACGACGACGACATCGAGGAGCACATTCTCGACATGTTTGAGGAAGATGCGACGCGGAGCACGCGCTCGGTGGCACGTGAACTAGGTGTGAACCATATGCGCGTTTGGAGAGCCCTCAAAGATGATGGCCAGCACCCATATCATTATCGTCGAGTTCAGTGTCTTCTTCCTAACGACTACGAGCCGAGAATGGATTACTGTAGATGGTTACTTGATAAGGTTGAAGGAGATTCTGAGTTTTTGAACCGCGTACTTTTTACAGATGAATGCTCTTTTGTAAGAACAGGTGTATTTAATGCTCATAATGAACACGTATGGTCAACGACAAATCCGCATTCGTATAAACCAAGCCACTTTCAACACCGATGGAAAATCAATGTGTGGGCGGGAATTATAGGTGACAAAATTATTGGTCCGTATTTCCTAGACCACACAATGAGCGGTGAAAACTACGGACGTTTTTTGCGAGAAGAACTAAGCAATGAACTTGACGAAATAAATTTAGACCTCGTTCGTCGCATGTGGTTTCAACACGATGGTGCTCCACCGCATTTCTCCCGTTGTGTAAGAAGTTTTTTAGATACTGAGTTCGGTGAAAGATGGATTGGCCGCGGTGGACCGGTCAACTGGCCGGCACGATCACCTGATCTCACACCTTTAGATTTTTATCTCTGGGGTACGATTAAGCAGACTGTATTCCAAAAAACATGCGATACCGAGGCAGAAATGCGTATGCGTATAGTCGCAGCCTTTGAAAAAATAAAGTCCGAAATGTCTGTTGCAACGCGTGCGTTCAGACATTACAATTCGGTGTCACAAATGTATAGAGGTACAAGGTGGACATATTGAACAACATCTTCGTGGTCGTCAAGTAGACATAGTGATAAATTAGTGTTTGACTATAACAGCTGTGAGTGTAGGTAAGACGCGCGCGCGCGCCCCGTCTTTGATGTACCTACGTCACCGCCGGCCGCCACCCGCCGCTGTCGATAATTCCAGGCAGAGGTAATCAATCCACATAAAATTTACAAATATTATTTAATTAAAATTTGATTTGATTATTTTTATGACGAGTTTTCTGAAGTAAAGTTATTTCTATGCGTTTAAATACTGATTCTGATAACGCACTTAACGGGAACCACAGGGTTTTTGTTACATATTGTATATGTATATATATATATATGTACATATATATATATATATATATATATATATATATATATATATGTACATATATATATATATATATATATATATATATATATATATATATATATATATATATATATATATGTATATATTTGGAAAACACGGAATTCAGGAAAACTTTTAGTAAAGCAGTAATTGAATTATACAAAAAAGATACTTATAATTTGATTGAATGTACAGACAGAATAGTTAACCTAACCGATTCAGAACACGACCAAAGACGGGTAGTCATAGCGTACCACGAAGAGAAAACGTGTCACAGTGTCATCATACTATAACATAAGTAAAATTGAAATTTCATGAACATAAGGGTATCTGGCAGAGGATTGCCACGATGTTAGGTGTCTGGCAATGAATAACGTGATTTTTAACAATATTCATAAGGTAATACCAAAATATCGCACTTTATTATTTGATGCATTTAGATGTGTATTTTAGATACCTTTAGTACCGTTTACCTGCCAAAGCCACTGTAACCCAAATTTCGTCTAGTAATGGTCCATCATTCTTACCTGTGTTGGGAGCATGAGCTGACAAACATTCAGCTTTTATAAAATAACAAAGGTCTGGGGTTCACGGGCTCTTAGACTATTTATTTTATGCAATCATTATAATGTAGTATTACCTGTTTAGCGAAGTAAATTTTATCAAGGCGATCATCACATACTACTGGCTCTGAAGGTTCATCATTTTGCATATACTTGAATAAAAATATTAGGCCATGAACCGGTCTGAAACAAATTGCAGTAACTTAAAAAATGGTCAAAAGAGTAGTTTAATTAATAATAATATAAAAACAAAGTTTACCGTAAATTTTCAAAAATGCCATCATCTATAGTCCACAATTCTTCAACTTGCACCCCTGTAGCACCTAAATCGAATTATTAAATTTATTTATACAGTCAAACTCTTATGAATAGCTATTGAAGATAGATTATAAAGAAAAAATAAAAGCAACGTTCACTATGTGGTGGCTACTGATGAAAATTAGGTGGTGTAAAAGGTACCACCCAAATCGGTAATACACCATCCGTTGATTTAGTATCAAAGGAAATTTACAATTTTATCGATTTTCATCATTCTACATATAAATATAGCATTACAATAAATTTCCAATAATGTAGCATTTTCATTAAGCAGCAAAATAAAAATAGAGATAATAATGCACTATCAACCCCCAAACTAATAAAACTTAAAAAATACTTAAGCAATATTTATACAGTGGAATCGCGATAACTCGAATTTCAAGAGATAGTTAATAAGTTTTCGACTTAACAAGAATTTCAAGGTATACATGGGATTTAATTGATTAAATTTCGACTTTGATAGGAACAATTTCTATGTATATTTTTTCGAATTGTAGTCATAGCTAAATGAAAATTTTGACTTATGTACTACCCGTCCGGATAAAGAATGGGATTGAAAATGGCGTCGTCTCTATTCACCTCTCGCTCGCTCACCGTCATCTTTGATAGGCACAATTTCTATGTAAATATTGTCGAATTGTAGTCATAGCTAAATGAAAATTTTGACTTATGTACTACCCGTCCGGATAAAGAATGGGATTGAAAATGGCGTCGTCTCTATTCACCTCTCGCTCGCACACTGTCGTTATTTATACTCATACGCGCCGGTAAAGACTGCAAAAAAGTTGCAATAGGTATGTATATATACGTATATATACACATGTAGACATACGTATTGCAACTTTTTTTGCAGTCTTTACCGGCGCGTATGAGTATAAATAACGACAGTGTGCGAGCGAGAGGTGAATAGAGACGACACCATTTTCAATCCCGTTCTTTATCCGGACGGGTAGTACGTTCTTTACTTCAGTCTAACTTACCGTTGGAATCAAAAAAATCACTCCGTTTTTGCTAATTTTGAGCTACGACGCGTTCTGAGAGTTTTGTTGATAATTATTTTTGATTTTGTTTGTTAATATTTTTGTATATAATATTTACAAGTCTGTCCGACGATAGATTAGCTTCGGAATTTCAGAACCGACTGTTATAAAACTTTACGAACAAACAGAGAAAATACCTGGAACGATTTAAGCTAATTTTTTTTTTTCAAAAAATTCAGAGAATTTAATAAAGTAGAAATATCGATAAAATAAAATAAATGGTATTTAATGATTATCGTAAGTTTAAATAACGCCATATTAATAGATGTCACCCAAAAGAAGCCAAAGCGGGTCGCCAGTTATATTTGTTACTTTAAAATTAATATACCTACTGGGGTATACAATTCGTTTCAAATATTAATAAAAAATTTCCATTTGACCGAATAATATAACGTTATAACAATGTACCGTTATTAGCGTGTTTTCGCTATTTATACAATGCACGGTACTTTCCCGATGATCGACATTTCTAGTCCCATTCTTTATCCGTACGGACTTTTACGTATTTTACCGCATGGCTAACATCAAAATCTAACGTACGTAGAATCACAATATATAAGGGGTAATGTGATTGTGTTATGTTATGTGATATGTTATGTATATGTTGTGAAATGATGTGTGTTTAGCAGATGGTAGATATGATAAGGATATGCTAAGGATATAGAAAGACGAGTGAATGCAGGAAATCGAGTGAATGGGTCTCTACACTCTATTATGAAGAATCAGAATGTGTCAAAAAAGGCATGTATGGTAATTCATAATGCTGTGTTAATCTCTACTTTAATGTATGGTAATGAAAGTTGGGTGTGGCAGTAGAAGCACGAAAGTAGAATAAATGCTGTAGAAAAGCGGTCTTAAGGAGTATGCTAGGGTTGAATATGAATGACAGGGTGAGAAATTGTGTGATAAGAGAAAAATGTGGTATGCAAAATGATATTGTGACCAGGATTAAGAAAAGAATGCTTCAGTGGTTTGGTCATGTAGAAAGAATGAACGAGGAAAGAGTGATAAAGCAAATTTATATGGCAGATGTGAACAGCAGGGTTGGAAAGGGACGCCCTAGACGAAAGTTTATCAAGAAAATTGGCGATATTTTGAAAATGGGCCACATTAGAAGTACCCTTAACCAACGAGTGTGTATGCGTAGATATATTGATGTAAAGGAAGCGAGAGAGGTATGTCAGGATCGTGCCAAATGGAAGTCCGTAGTCTCTGCCTACCCCTCTAGGTGACAGGCGTGAGTGTTTATGAATGTATGTATATATTTACCGAATTTTCTTATTAGCTGTGTAAACACTCCTGGATCACTTTCAATCAAGCACCAATCTCCAGCAGATTCCATGTTGCCTACTCTTAATTTCTTGCAAGAATCATTCGAAAACACTAAAAAATAATATAAGATTTAAAATATAGACACATACTATAGTAATAAAAATAATTCCTTGTGTGTGAGAGGCTCACCACCATGCTTTTCGTGGCCTTTCGAAGAGGCTTTTTCCGCAGTAAACTAGTGAAGAATTGCCTTCAGAAGCCTGTGTAAATAAATAATAGCTTTCATTGACTACTCCAAAGCATTTGATAGTCTGAACCATAATCATATTTGGGCAAGTCAATGACATATAATACCTATATTGACATAAGCAAAAATAATCACAGCAAGAGAAAACGCTGCATAAAACTGGAATATAAAGGAGACTCATTTCCCATAAACAGGTGTCAAATAAGATAATATAGACCTTATGTAATCAATGAGTTTGACAGTTGTAGTTAAAAGTTAATGTAAGAAATTAGAGATAAGTATGTACTTAAATGTATTGCTAAAAACATGGAGCATGTAATTTTACATTTAAGACTAACATATGTAGTATTCACAAAATTAATATTGACCCATAAGTCACTTTGTATTTTATAGTATAGTGCAAAACCATTCAATATAATATATCCGTAACTATTTTTAGACCTGTTGTCACCCAAATTGTTTAATGGTGTGCTGGAAAGAATCTTTAGACAAATAGACTATTTATTACGATAAATATAATCATAAATAGTAAATAAATAGACTATAGATTTACTATTTATTATGGCCTCAACTTTAATGGAAGCCACTTGAATCATTTGAGATTTGCTGACAATCTAATCGTGCTGGTAGAAGATCCTGAGAAATTACAAAATTATGATACAAACTAATAAAAGTAAGGAAACTGAACTTGAAATGAATATAAGCAAAACAAAAATAAAAACCAAAAGTTGATATAGAGATGGATGGAACCAGATTTTAATATGTACTGGAGTATGTTTATTTACAACAAAATATCTCTCCCAGGGATCAGATGTCCACAGAAGTAAATAAAAGACTCATGCCGTTGTCTTCTACGATATTATGAGTCTCAAGTCTAAAGTCTATAAAAGAGTTTAAATGTTTATATCTTCATCCCTTACAACCTTTGCCATCATCAGCCCGTTAATTCCCACTGCTGGACATAGGCATCTTGCATTATAGCAAGAGTTAGTAATAATCGCCACACTTGGCAGGTAGTTTGAATAAAACTATTTATACAAATTTTATCATGTTTAAATAACTTATTTTTAATTCCCTACGTCGGTGCTCCAGGAAGTCTGCAGTCTGTGAACATGTTCCAGGTCGTCCCCACCATTACATCAGATTTGATAAACCACAAATCTTCACAAAAGAACACCAATTCCTACCAAGGATGATATACGCAAGGCTATTGAAATCAAAAAATATACTAATTTCAGTAGAGAAGATGGATGGGTGCTGCCATCTGCTTGGGATCCTATAATTACCTACTTTACATTTAAACTCTTTTATAGACTAAAGTATATGGATGCGAGACAAGGTCCCTCACCAAAACTTACAAGGTGTCAACTTGCAATGGAGAGAAGTATCTTTGTAGTAAAACTTTGAGATAAAATTAGGAATTCTATGATAGTGGTAAATGAAGCAATGTAATTTTATTTGTTATAATATGGTTTTCTGAAAAACCTCTTTGAGTGGAGAGCACACTGGGACTGAATTTGCTATACATGAGTCCCATCTCCAGCCACGAATGGATTGTCTGGGTTCGAGTAATTTACTTTTTTAATGAGTGTGTCCGTGTTAGAAAAAAATACAAATTAATAGGGATGGGCCGAATATGGATTTCACCGAATACAAATATTCGGCCGAAAGTTCAGTAAAATTTTTACCGAACCGAATATTCGGCCGAACATTATTCAGCAGGATTACCTCAATACCTAACCAATTTATGAAACTTGTTACTGTAAAGGGCTTGGGATTAGCACCGGACCCTGCTCCTCACTCCCCCGCCATACCTGACATGTTATTGCATCATCTAGTTCTTAGCAAATTACCAAAACAAAAAACTGAAACTGAACACCAAAGTAAAATTAAATGTACTAATATAATATAATATACTAATATAATACTTTAACAAATGTTCTGTGATTTAGCCGAATATTCAGCCGAATATGAATATTCCGTAAAACTGCTGAATACCGAATATAAAATGAATATTCCATCTCTACAAATTAACACATTTGCATTTTGTCATTTTATGCAATTTTTGTGATATTTATTATTTATCATAATGTTAATTATTATCAATAATTATTATTTATTTATATATATTCAAATGCTTTTCCCAAATCCAAAAACAGTGTAGAAGATTAAATCTTAAAGGTTAAAAATCAAGTATCTGATGATCTGATCACAGAACATTCGTTAAAGTTGTACTCTGTGTCCACTGTATTGAAATGTATGAATTGAGTGATGCCATGTGTTTCATAACACTAGACCAAAGTGATATATTTGCAATTTGTTATAATAAGCAATTTTTAGTGAAATTTTTAGCCAACCCAGTATAGATCCTTAGGGAGTAACTATAAACCAAATTTCTATAATTTCCAACTCCAAACGAGCAAAGCTATGGATGGTCCCTAGTACCTTGATAAATGGGTCAGAAGATATAGATAGATAGTAGGTTTTGTCTTATATATCAAGTTACTAGTGACATTTTTAAGTTAAAATATAGACATATATTTTATATAACATAAAACACAAAGTGTGAAATGAATAAGCTAGTATTTTATCAATTGAATATGAGGCAGCTGTGTATAATACCCTCTTAAATCTGAGGCGGTTGCAGGTATTCATGGTCTGTAGTAGCCACTTACATCAAATGGGCTATAAGTTCAGTCGTTTCTGTTTTAAAAAATATAAATTTATAACACTTCACTTTTAAATATGTAATAAATTTGTTATTTACATAAATCATTTGACATTATTTTCTTTGATAGAAGAGGTGGCAAACGAGCATGCGGCTCACCTGATGGAAGTGTGTCGACGCCGCCCATGAACAACTACAACACCAAGGGAACGGTACTTTAAAAAGGAGTAAAGTCGTTTCTTGAAGTTCGCTAAGTCGTATCGTATCTATATATTGTTTAAATTGCTATTACAGTACTTAGTAAAACAAATCGCTTTTAATTGCTAAAATAGAATACTTTTTGAAATTAAAACTTACCAAAATGCTCCCGGCACACATTCAACACCGGATACCAAATACTCTTATTATTATAATCTTAAATTATTTATTTATTTAATATAATGCATTGCAATACAAAGAAAAATTGCAAATTAATGAATATCAAGTCAATACCATACTCAACCACTAGATTACAGTAGACAATTTTTTTTATTTAACTGGCTTTACGGCTCTGGGTACTAGCCCTTCTGAGCTTTCTTTCAGAATCTTCATTTTATATATTTTTTCTTCACAACATGCTGATGCGTCACATTGCGAAGTTTTTGGGAGATTTTGACGGCAACTCAACCCAGCAGATTGTTGATGATGACAGCCACTCAAGTTCATAATAGTCTAAGATCCCGATATAAAACGACCTTCACCGAGATGCTTATTTCATGAAACGTACTTTATATTTAATTTAATATGTCAATAAATATAATCCATATGGGTTGCCTAGCAAAATTCAGTCCAGAGTATGTTTAATTAATAATTAAAAAAAAATATTTTTTTAAACATTTCACCGATTATTAGATAAATTCTATACCAATCGAAAGTATGAAGCCCATAGAATATGCAAACGTTAGGTTGCCTATTCTTTTCCGGTCACAACTATCGGGTTGCCAGGTATAAACAGGTAAATCAGTACTAACATTTTGAAACGGTCTGTTTATTGAATGAATTTTAAATGAAATTAAAGATTATTTTATTCTGAACACGGTAGTATAGGGTTGCCTGCGAAAAATCAGTCCAGAATTGCGGTTGTCGAATTTTAAAAAGTAAAATATTGCTCCGAGTGAATGTGTGCGACTGAGAGGTCCCAACCATCCCATGCGATAGAAGATGACACAGCATAGCAGCTGTTTAAAGTCCGCCCACTTAAAGAAAGAGAGTGCGCATGCTATTTGGGCTTTGAAAAGAAAAGGATAGCGATAGATTCGTATATACTATGGATCATTTTGGAGTAGTTTATTATTTAAATAGAGAAATAGTTATTTAATTTTTTTAATCAATTAATTAATATCAATAATCAATTATTTATGTGTATATTTTTTGTGTGACACTAAAATATATATACATCTTTAGTAAAAAAGAAGGTTATCGTGATACATAATAGCAGAGTAGCTGAATGCGGTGTCGCCTCTAGTACGTAGTACATAGTAGCTCAATGATATTTATGTTACTTTTACCAGGCCTCTGTCACTCTTGCTACCTGCGTGAAATAATTACCTAAAATCGCGACGCGCCCGGGCGAAATAATGCAGCCAGAGCTAGCGCAATGTAGGCAATTCAATGTTAAAGTTTTTAACGCTGTTTACGCAAATAGCTTTATGTAAATACTTGTTGAAATAGTTTTTGTTTAGTGTTTAGTTTATTTAATTGCAGGTAAAAATAGTAGTAAAAGTTTTAATGTATTTTAAAAATGATATATTATGTATATTACCTATTTGATATTATGTATATTAAGTTATTATGTAAGATATTATGTATATTAAATTATAATAGCAAAACGTCATTCCTACTTATAACTGTTGCGTGGATGGATACTAAATGAAATGACCAACAAAAGATTTCATATCATTCTTTATGTTACTGAAGATTTTTAGAAGAAAGTTATGAAAGGTGAATTTATTTAATTTTTTGGTAGATAGGTAATTACAGCAAAATAGAATTAAGTAGTAATTTGGTCTACAAAAGAAATACCTAAGTACTTTATTACACAAATTAGTTAAAATTTACCTCACTATCCAAGTATTTACTTACATACATATACTTGTCTAAATATTTTAAGTTATAATAACACAAAATTCTGAATTTAAAACTTTGTTTACTAATAAGATTTTTAACTATGTAGAATAATAGATCACATTTCTGTTAGGAATCGCACTTCAGGTTTATTTGTTGTTTACACTATCTACTTATTTCTTCCGAATCAAGCGTTGCGATTCCCGACGAATGACCTTGCAATTTGCATGCGTTAGGCATCGCAGAACTCACATAGGGGCGAAAATGTGGTCAGTCAATCATAGTCAGAATAGGTACTTCACTTAAGTAACATAATTAACATTTCGCAACGTATTTTTTTACTTTCTATTGACATCCCTTAATAACCACGGAAAGTCCGCCGTGACTTAGGAAGCGGAAAAGATGCAAAGTAATATGGACACTAACGCGCAGCAATAAAGTTTTATTTAGCTTGTGTGCGCGATTTATCTGATTAATAATAATTATGTAGGCTATTTAATGTCGGCAAGCAGTCGACATCAAAGGAGTGCAACTTCTGTACGTAGTACTATTATTTATTCTGTGCTTTTACATACATCACAAAATGCATTAGCTTTTTTTAAAAAAATTCTTTTGCTATAAAAAATGCTTTTTTAAAAAAAATGCTATAACAGCTATAAACTTCACACGACGATAGATTAATTTATTTAAACATAATAAAGAACAATTTTTAATATTTTAAGTAGGTTATTATATAAATTAATGATTTAATGCCTTTAGAAAAGAAAAAAAAAACAATAATAGCAAATCGGTTATAACTCTTTTCAAAATTATGTACATTTAAATAAAATTTACTACATAAAAAAACACACACGAAATGTATCATCAGTGATATGTTAACTACAAAATATGAAAAATTAATTAATGATAAACAATTGTAAATGTAAATACGTAAAAATGTAATCTTCATATTATTTCATTCATGTTTTGCAGGACACAGTAATAAAAATAATATAAAACTATAACCGAATAAAATTGAATATAAAATCAAGTGCTAGATTATTGATTAATTTATAATTATTGCATTGTGCTTGTTTTTTCAGTAATATAAATATTTTAAAAAAATCGTGAATTATCTGATAAATACTTTAAATTTAATCATAATTATTTTAAATACTGAAAATTTTATGCATAACTTATTTTTTTAAAAGCAAAAACAACATTAAAACATCTCAAATTATTAAAGTTTTAAATGGAATTAAAAATCACACAGGTGCGAATTTACCTCTCAAATTCTTCTTTATTCTTTTCGGCTCAATTTTCACATCCTTCTGGGTGATGCCCGCTAGAATACAACTGCTTCTTTCCCTTTTTTAAATTAATATGCCGTATCTTGAAATCCGCATTTTATTTTCCTCATTCTTTGTTTACTAATTAATAAATTAATAATATTCGTAGTTTGATTGTCTTCATAGTACTACATATATTTCAATTTTAATTTTGAGTTAACTTCTTTAAATTATTATTGTGACCACTTCTTGTATCAGTTTTTGGTTTTCTTGTCACATCCGGTAGTATGTCAATTCAATAATTGATTTTTTTTTCTTTATATTATTTCTTTAAATTATTTTCCCATTTTATTATTAAAAAAAAATGCAGGCCGCGGCGGTGCGCTGCGACAATGCACGCGCATATCCTGACAGGGTCGCCATGTAATATAGGAAAGGAGTCAATGAAGGAGGCGTGTGGTTGGTACTAAAACTTTAATTAGACTACTCATTATTCTACCTTAACACTAAAGTATATTAACGTGGGAGCACTACACTACATAATGACCCCAAGCTAATGTTTAAATATTATTATCTAAAATATGCCTCTTTGTGTCATTATATGATAAACCAATCTTATTTAATTTTTGTGTAAAAATTGTGTGTTTAATTGATTAAAATCTAAGCATACTACAATATTGCACTTTTTTATTAAATAGAGAAAATTTATAACTATTCATTGTCATCTTTTTAGTGATACATTTATGTATTCTACCCCTTTTGCCTTGGCTATAGTCTTATTCTCTAAGTTAAAAGCGTACATTTTGGGTAAACCCACAAATTCTTACATTATTTTCATCTTTAAAAAACCTAATTTCTTTTAATTTAATTTTGGATATTCAAAAATATTATTTATATCATAATCTGAGGTATCAAAGTATGATGAAAGGAGTCAATGATGGAGGCGTATGGTTGGTACTAAAACTTTAATTAGACTGCTCATTATTTTACCTTAACACTAAAGTATATTAACGTGAGAGCACTAACTACACTACATAATGACCCCAAGCTAATGTTTCAATATTATTATCTAAAATATGCCTCTTTGTGTCATTATATAATAAACCAATCTTATTTAATTTTTGTGTAAAAATTGTGTGTTTAATTGATTAAAATCTAAGCATGCTACAATATTGCACTTTTTTGTTAAATAGAGAAGATTTATAACTATTCATTGTCATCTTTTTAATTCAATTTTATTTTAATTTTGGATATTCAAAAATATTATTTGTATCATAGTCTGAGGTATCAAAGTATGATGAAAGGTCAGGTTTTATATCAGTGTAAAAATCATCTGTAAATATATGATATAATAAACTATCCCTATCTGTATACAATAATTTGATTTTACTAAACTTTTTAACCATATAGTTATAATGAAAATCATACATTAAAGTTTTTGAAATATCTAAAATGCAAAACCGTAAATAAATTGGTTTGTTATAATAACTTTCCGTCCGCAACAAGCGTTGAGAGTGGTACCCTGTATTAACGACTTCCTTAATTATCTAATTGTGTGTACACAAAAATCGATCATAGTGCGATATTTATTAGTGTCGTGATTACTATACTAAGATTGTAGTTCATTCTAGTGGATTGAGTGAAAAACAATAAATCAGCAATTGCCGATTGCATCGCAAATAGCATTGCCACCGCGGTAAATACAGCCCTAAAGGGCGAGCTATCAAAGATTACCTCTGCGTTATCAGAACTTAATGATAATGTGATGAAGCTTAACATGGATACTATCAACCTTAATAAATGATTGCACGAAGTTAACACCCGATTGTGCGAAATAGAGAAATCACTTAGCTTCTCAAATGAACGACAGGACTTATTTGACAGTCGACTGAAAACTGTAGAACAGAATATATCACAATATAATGGCTTTAAAACTCAAATACAACTACTTGAGAACAAAATACATACCATGGAACAGCAAGCAAGACAGTGCAATGTCGAAATAGCTAAT